GTTGTCGTTGGCGTTGGCGTTGGCGTTGCCGTTGGCGTTTGCGTTGGCATTGCCGTTGGCGTTGGCGTTGGCGTTGGCGTTGGCGTTGGCGTTGCTGTTGGTGGTGATGGTGGTGGTGGTGGTGGTGGTGGTGGCGGTATCGTTATGTTCTTCACCATTGCCGCCGTCATCATCATTATAATGATTGTTGTTATAATTTTTGTTGTCACCAACATTATGACAAGTGTTCTTGTTGTGCTTACCGTTATCGTCACACTACTGATTTTTGTTGAAGCGTCGGTGCTATTGTTGTTGTTGCTCTCATCACTACTATTATTCGCCTCGGCCGCGGCCGAAGCGGCCAGAGGTTCCTACGGGGAATCCCTGTTTCCCCACCTCTTAATCCCCTCCCCAGTGACGCCCCCCACCCCCACCCCATAGCCGGCAGGACTGACGTCTCCCCCTAAATTGGATTTCGGGTATCCCTACATCCAGAGATTCTGGGCTTGCCGGTAGCTTTTTTCTGTGCGAACAGCCCTCCCCGAAACACCCCCCGCCGGCCAACTTACATTTCATGAAGTTGATGCCAATGCCTTGGCATTCTGGAGCTGTGTCTTGTACTTCGTTGCAACCTTTTATTTTGATTCCCCTTCCAACATATGGGAGGGTGTAGATGGGACCAGTGAGAAGCGTGATACGATTATCATAGTATCCGTCCATGGATAATGCAGGGAATGTAGCACCTTTCCCGTGAGATGAATGCTCAGAGCCTCAGCGTGAAAACAAACACTGACATTCAAATACATGCTAAAGCAGCTCTAATTCACTCAAGGCCTCATCTGTGCGACCTGCGCGTTGCTCTCCGAAACAATGCAGCTGCTTCAAGTACAGCCGGGCCGAGGCGGAAGATGCGTAGCGTTTAAAATTTCTTGTTGTTGCTATTATTATTTTTTATCATTATCATTATCACTACCTCCACTTCTCCTAGTACTCCGACGACGACGACGACTACTACTGCTGCTACTACTACAACGACGACGACGCCGCCGACGACGACGACCACGATCATGAATATCATTTTCGTCCTAATTTTAATTGTTGCGCTTATTCTCTTATTATACTATTAGTATCATTGTTAGTCTGAGTCTTGTTCTTTTGTTCGAATCATTATAATTTTATTAAGTATGCGTATGATGAGGGTTTAGGCTCAAGCTCTGAGCTCTGAGGCCCCTCTTAGTAGGGGAAGTCTGCCTGGGGCCCGTGCCCTCGGATGCCAGGATGGATCCTTCCCAGTCCTCGAGCCCAGAAAGCTTGAAGAAGAGCAAGTTGTTGCCCATAACCTGAGATTCCCAATGATTCCATGCCGAGGCCTATACCTTGAAAGCTGCAAGAAGGTAGCCGTCCACGGAATGGTGCCAAATATTCCCTGCCTCAGCTGCCCGGTTTGTAGTGCCCAGTTCCAACCTTCAGCCGGGACCTCTGCTTCCCAAAACTCTAAACCGTTGTTGGATCACCATCCGCCGAGGTTCACAACCATGATGCAGAAAGTGGGGATGCAGAGGAAGCCCAGCAGCGCGCGCAGCTCCTCTGCCACGGCCTGGCAGCCCTTCTTGTCAGCCGAATTGTCCAGCTGTTTGGGCGGCTCCACCTTCAGGGACCGGAAGGCAGAAAGTGGTACCATACTCAGATGTCACGACCGGCTAGAAAACCCTGTTCGCGCACAAAACCTTTCTTGAGTTCCTAGCGCTTGCGTCGAGGCACCATAAGCACACACACCAGCACGCCGATGCATGCAGCAGTGCATCCTGCAAGCAAGAAGACAAAGCGCCACCCAGGAAGGTCGCCCAAACTGATGTTGGCCACGTTGCCGGCTATCCTTATCTGAGGCACTTCGGAAAGCTGTTTCCTCCAAAGCTGGATTCTTCGCCAACAAGCGGGCTGCAGCTGGGACACCTTCAAACCAAGGTGTACCGCTGTAAAGAAACTCCGTCCGGCAGAGCTGGATCCCCTACAATCGGAACCAGCAATTTGTCCCACATCTTGGTTTCTGTCGCTACATTCTGTCGTCCCAGTATCAGTACCTGACAGCACATGCCTAATATCCAGTTCCCCAACCACAAAATACCTTTGGACGCCCTGAAAGCCACCGCGGAGAAGCTCACTTGGAAGATGAATGCACTAGGGGGGAAACACGTCGGGGCTGGATCCCGGTTGAGGCCTTCGTTTTGTCAACCTGTCGAATGCTCCGATCGTTCAGCAACCAACCGCCTGAATCTCCGAATCTCCATGGAAACCAAACTGAATTCAAGGAAGCGAAGCAAGACGACTCTGAAAGGCAGGGACCCGATGCAAGTAGTTACGAAATGGCCAAGATGTGCCAAGGAACAGTGTGGTGCAGCACATACCAACAAGCAGGGAGCTCTGCACCAGGGAAAACATCTTCCCGCGTCGATCATCCGACGTCATGTCTGCGATGATGCCGTTCACAACGGGCCTGTTGTGAAGCCGCGTGCTCCCAACGGCCGGAGTCTAATTTTCGGTGGGCTAAAATTAAATGTGGTCTGTGGTCCCTGGCATGCCCCCAGTATTCCAGGCAGGGCTGTCTGATCAGTGCTTGCAGCTGTCTCGCCGACTCTTGCCTAAGGGAGGCGAGGAAGAAGCCGCTCATGCCCCGCAAGATCACCATGACCAAAAAGTTGGGCACCATGGACATGAGACCAGCCTCGCTTTGGCTCCGCGAACGCATCTCACCGGCGCACCGGTTTAGTGTTTAGGGTGTAGAAAGGTGGTTTAAGATTTTAGGTTTGCGGCTGGCTTGAGAGCTTGCTGCTACGATGGCGGGTCAGGAACTCAGACCTAACACCCCTAATTCTCCCCCGAGCTACAAACGCCGAAACCCTAAGCCTTAGTTCGTCTTTTTGGCTGCCGGTCTCAGGCTGCAAGCCTTCAAGGGTATAGGGCCTCGGGCCCGGATTTCAGGGGCCGGAAGTGCCTGGGCAGGGTTGAATGTATGTGGTTTTGGGGTTGGAAATCTTGTCGAGCGCCATGGGGTCTAGGCAGCGAAATTACGAAAGCCCTGAATGCTTAAACAGATCCCGCAATCTGGTCCTAGCGGAGGCATCATACGTTCGCGCCCTGCTAGATTCTATGCAGCAGCAAGAAGCCGAAACCCCGCAATGAGTCAAAAGGTCTCGGCGCAGCCAAGCGGCTGCTAAGCCTTCTCCAAGAGCACCCAAAAGTATAATATGCTTTCTCTTCAATGTACCTTGGCTGGTTTCAAAAGTCAAAGGGCAACCAGCTCGAGTGGGCAGCCTCCCAAGCTCCCACTCCTCCTACCACTGTTCTACATAGGGGCAGGATATTCTGTCGTTCGCGTAAAGCTCTCCTCCGAGGCACCTCTGTCTGCGAGTATGCCCCAGAAAGGAGCAGCCAAGTTCGTCAGCACCATTTGAACGGTGTTCAAGATCGCCTGAGCTCAGGCGACAGGCTGAAGGAACCTAATGCGGGGATATTGGGGGTTGAAGGGCGAGGGGAAGAAGAGTCGACTCTGAGACTTCCCTGGTTCAAATCACTCAGATCATTGAATCCTACAACCTCAGCTCACGTACCGCAGCTGCGCCACAACGTCTGTCAGGGTCATGATGTTCTTCTGAAGCTGGAACATGCAAGCAGGCACCAGCTGAGAATCAATACCTGACAGGTCTGCAATATACTGTCTAAACAAGCCAACTAGCAACAAAACCCTCGAGCTTCAACTCACCTTCGATCGCGGATGCCAAGCATAGGCACCTTGGGCTAGAACAGCAACACGGGATGAACTCCCTAGTCTTTGACCTCTGCTGACTCCCTCATGTCCGTGTGTGTTTCTCCACATGTGTATGTATGTACATACACAAACACACACACACACACACACTCCATCTATCTATCTATCTATCTATCTATATGGGGTTTAGGGTTCAGGCTTTGAGTTTCGGGTTCTTTTGTTTAGGGTTAAACGGTATAAGGCTTCGAGTTCAAGGGCTTAGGGAGGGTTTGGGGTGTGGGTTCGTTGGGGTTGACGGTTTATGCTCTGCTTAAGGCTTAGAGCCTGCATTTCGGCGGGGTTTAGGGTTGGGTGAAGGGTTCAAAGTACATACAGGTTAAGGTGAATACAAACCTGAGCACGCGTTGCCAGACGCCTGACCACATACATAGATAGATAGATAGATAGATAGATAGATGGATGGATAGATAGATAGATATGTATATAAGAGAGAGAGAGAGAGTACATATATATATATATACACAGACGAAA